TAGTTTTCATATGTGGTCTGATTGATATTACATTATGTTCTATATTTATTGAATATTTCAGGATAATATCAACACAATGAATAAACGCTGTGAATCAACGATTGAAGAGTAAGGTTACAAGCGGAGGAGCGATATCGATATCAATGATATAGCAAAATGTTAGTATGGTGCAATCTAATTAATTGCATATTCTTTGCAGGCGCTCAAAAACTTATAAAAGCTCAGCGTAAAGAGGATTTTTCTAGAGTGATGCAACAACCAAGCCTATACAAATTATGGACATATTAATGATAATAAAACTCATCACAAAATTTTGACTGATGCTCAGAAAATGATTCAGATATCTGGACAAGCTATTGGATATTTCCGATATAACAAAATTTAAGCATTCACATTTACTAATGTGCTGTGCTTTTTGGCAAGGAATATTGACATAATTATTTTTTCAGAAGACAGGATGCACATTTACATTTGCTTTACTTTTTACATGGTTGACAAAATTATACAATACCACATATCTTCATAGATTCGAAAGGCTTATGTTAATGGATCATGTTTTCTCTATGATATACTGTAATACCTCAGCTTAATGAGAAAGATGCTATTGTATTGAATAAGGCTATGCAATATTCCCAGAAGGTATTTGATGAAGCTCTCGCAACCAAGGAAACGGTATTTCGTATTGAGGCTGTTATAAACGAATTTATAAAAGAACAAAAGGCATCCAAAGATCTCGATATGGAATTGAATGAATGTCCTATGGATTATAAAAAGATGTCTAGTAAAAACACACGAAAGAAGACATTTTGGTATAATGTAAGTATTATTATATTTTGATTACTTGTTTTAAAATCCATTTTTCTTATTTATTATACTTATCTATTTAGTAGACTTTGACTAAGGCGTGCTTCGAACTTTTCCAAAAAGATAAAATCCTACTGATGATATTATGCGTGATACTGTTTATAATACTTTGGTTGAGGAACATTCTGATGAAATCACAAAAATTGAATGTGCTAAGGGCGGTTGGAGCAAGTACTGGATAGAAGTACTTCAATCAACGGTATATTTTTTTAACCGATGATGATATTCATAAATTATAGTAAAATTGTAATACTAATAATAATAATGAATTATAGGCTCGTGGTGGATTTCGTATTAATTGTGCTAATTATGTCTGAAATATCAAGAATGCAGTAATCAATGTCTTTGGCAAGGCTTTTATTAGAGATTTTCCCGGTCACAAGGCAATAACTGAAGAAGTTTTAACATGAAAAGCTATACAAAATGTAAAATGGGCGAATGATCACCTTTGGAGTGAAGTAGATCCAAATAATAACGATTCATATGATACTTATATAAATCGTATTATTAAAGATGTGTTGAAAATAAATGAACGTACTGCTGATAACTGTGCATTTATTATTGCTATTATTGATCTCATGTTTGATTCTAATATCAAAACTGCAACACTTTCCAGAGAATTGATATTTCGACGCATGACTGATAGAGCCAAAGAACAAGAGATAGCTTTAACAACATTACAAAAGAAATTGATCACTCAAGAGGTATTTGAAAACTTTATGATTAGTCAAATCAATTATAATTGCTTATAGAGTTATATATTTCATTATATTAATTAGAAAGAAAATGAGTTTATCGAATTGGATAGTACTTGTGATGATAATGAAGATATGATTTCTAGTTCAGATGATAATGACGAATAGAAGATCAATATATACTTTATTAATAATAATATAATTTTTATTGTAATTCATCAACGAGCAATGTACATCGTATAAAATGTTTATTTTAATAATGCACATTATATATAAATAACTGTTTTTTAGTAATATACATCACATAAATACTTTTTTAATAATGTACATCATATAAATGTATATTATGATGTTTGATAAATGGTATAATGTACACTATTTTTTATTGATGTACATAAAAGATGATGTTTATTGGGATAAACATTATTTTTAAAACTTCCTGATGATAGAAACAAATTCTGATACAAACTATCAAAAATTTTGGTCAATAGTATATTGCAACAAATTCGGGCTGTGATTGAAGCAAATGAAAGACTGACTAGTACTAATTATTTAGTATTAGATGTGTAGCATATCATACTTTAATAAATATTTTAATAAATATTTTTTAATAAAATTTAAAAATTCCAAGTTTTATATTGAGCCAAAAAATGTCCAGAGACTTTTAGCGGAGATCTGTAGGTTATGAAATTATCACCAGATCATGTAATTAGATTATGAAGTTACTTTTATATTATGAAGTTATCAAAATATTATGAAGTTATTAACAGACTATAAAGTTACCATTATATTATGAAGTTACCAGTAGACTATAAAGTTATCAACAGATTATGAAGTTATCAGTAGACTATGAAGTTACTTTCATAATTTAATCTAAGTCACATATGACTTCATAATATAATTATATTATAAAGTCATATGCGACTTATTCAATTATAAAATTATAAAGTTTTCAAATATTGATTACTACATTTTTTTTTATGTTAAAGAACATAAATAATAATAAATTTTTTTAATTAATAAAATATAAAATATATTGTTAACATGCAATTCTTGTAAATTGTAACAGTTAGATAGGGTGTTCGAGCGTTAGTTCTTTTTAATTGAGCAGTAATCTTTAATAATTCAACAAGCTTTTACTTTAAACTAACTATAAGAGGTATTTATGTAATTTATCAATAAGCAGTAATTTACTAACTTCAAGTAATTATAATATGAAATAATATGTTTATTCGCAAGTAAAATATAATAAAAAAAAAGTACTAAACTATAATCTAGTGTGATAGGCATGGTTGTCTATAAAATACTAAAACTAATAAGGTGATATAATAAGCCTGATTGCCTCTAAACTTTAATGTCATGTGGTAGGCCTAGTTGCCTCTTAAATACTATCTTCTGAATTGGTTACTTATGTCAATAGGCCTTTAGAATTAGTTATCTACGTCAGCGAATAATTACTATCTTCTGGATTGGTTATCTACATCGATAGACCTTCAGGATTGATTACCTATATTGGCTAACAATTACTTCAGTAGCTTCTAAAGCTACTCAAACTATCTTCTCAAAGGGAGATTGTACATAATCATTATGAAACTGATCAGATTGTATCTAGCAATTAATAGTTTTTCTTTTTAAGAATTTAGTCTCCTTTATATACTTTTTAAAATAAATCAAATATATTTTATATATCCATTATATCAGATATATCAAATATATCTAATATATCTAGTATATCCATTATATCAGATATATTAAATATATTTAATATATCAAATATGTCTGATATGTTTGACATTTTGATCTAAACTTTCTCGCATTACATAAATTAAATATATCTATTAAGTCAATCATATTAACTGTGTCACTTAGGTAAATGCATTATATAGATCAATTAAGTTACAATAGTTCTATTACATTACTCTTCGCTTAAGATTTTTGTTCTCACAAAAATTCTAAATTATTTCAATTTTGTTCTAATAAAATATACTTAAACGTAATAAAATAATAAAAATAATATAAAAGGTAAAATAGAAATTATTGTTGATCACTGTTTGATGCAGTAGTGAGATTATCTAATATGAGATCATTATTAATTAGTAGTTCTTACGTAATATTTGAAGTTGTATTTTCTTTCATTAACAATCCTCTTCCTACTTGAATTTTAAATGTTATAGTAAAAAAATAATTTTGTCCTTAAAATCAAAATTTTCTAAAAATTTTTACAAAAAGAATTATTTACAGATATTCTACCGTTAATAGACATGACCTATTATAAGGAGTCCGCCATTTATAATTTATCTGCAATTTGACCTTATAAATATAGGTTCTCTTAACTATATATAGGGCTAAATTTTGTTAATTTTTAGAATTATGAGATTCAAAATTCTATATAAATACTTCAATTTTGAATGATCATCTAATTGAGTTCACATGATTAATTATTTTCTTTAAATATGAATTTCTACACATATCGATTAAGTTTTTCAAAATCAATCTTTTCTTAAAGTTTTTCAAATATTTTAAAATTTAACAATGTCTTCCTTAAACACTTCTCAAAATTCTTCTCAAAAAAGAGTTGAACGTATGAAAATTTTTTGCACATCTCAAAGAAATAAACTTCAAAAAGCTACTGAATAACAAGTTCAAGTATAAGAAGAAGCAAGAAGAAGACTACTAATAGCAGATAGGTTAGCATATCTTGTAGCCGATCAAAATACTCACAAAGAACTATTAAAATAAAGAATAAACACGTTAGAAGTTAAAAACTTTCATTAAAAGGTATTTCTAGGGTAATGGTTATTTTACAAAGATTTATGGGAAGGTCAGATGTTAATTTTGGTTGGGTGGTCTGGGTGGTGATTAGGATTTTTATTTTTACTTGGTCTTTTTCTTAGAATTTTTCTTCGCTGGTAGTTTGCTGGGTTGGACTGGTAATTGTAGCTGGATTATATATTTTGTCAATCATTTTGTAAATAAAATTATATACTTAGTAGCTTGATTATATTGATCTGATTTTCATCCATGATATACTTAATCTTTTTCTATATCAGAAAAGTTCATTAAAATTTAATATTTAAGAAATCTATCACGAGAAAATTATTGAACACAAATCTAAAATTAACTTTTGATCAACTAATTATGTTATTTAACTTTTCTTAATGTATAAACTACGTAAATATTACAAGTAATTTTTTTTTCAGGAAAACTAACATTTTCATATTTTTTGATTCTTATGCATATATTTTGTCAAATCTCTTAAAATTATGCAGTTTACGAAAATTTCCTGAATTTTGTACTAAATCAAGAAATGTTGATCAAAAATATGCTATGCAAATATTACGTGATCATCTAATTTGATAATATTGATCAACTATGCAAATTTTAAACAAATTTTTGTTCTATAAATTTCTATGCAATAATCATTATTCAATGTGATCCAATGAATTTTGTTTATTTTTCTATAAGAAAATAATTCTCACAGTTCTGAGAATTTTTTATAACCACTTCTTTCAAGTATAAATATTTATCTAAGAATTCTTTTCATTTTCCACAAATTTTTCACTTTCTTCCTAAAATTATTGCAAAATTTTAAATTTCTTAAAATATTTTTAACTTTATTATAGTTTGAATAAACAAGAAAAATCTGCTTCTACTCATCGTAAAGCTTTAGTTCATCAAAGAAATTATCATAGTGAGAGAGTTTCCCAAGATAAGATAGGTATATTTAAGAATACAATCAGATACGACGATTAAGACTATATGAAATGCATCTTTTATGGGCTTATTATAATATACTGATATATACAACCCATCTCTCGTTTGAGGAGTGTGACAGTATGTTCAACCTCATTTAATATGACTGCAGCATATTAACATTTTTACCTCCTTCCTTATATGATACTATAGATTCTCAAAACATGAGTTTTTCTTGCTTAGAACTGATTATTACAGCCTTTATTGTTCTGTATCGATATATAGCCATTTGAAATATCATTAGGTTCATTAAGTTAACCTTTGCATGAACTGGTACTTACTGGTCAAAGATGCCCAACTTCATATTTCTAATGTGTGCTCTTCTTCTATTCAGACTACAGAGTCTCATCAAGAAGTTCAAGAAATTTGTCAAGAAAATTTCACATTAAGAAAACAATTATCAATTTCTTTAAATCAAAATGCTAAACTTTCTGCTGAATGTAAATATTTAAAAAATGAATTAACTAATATTTCTTCTCTTTAGTTCATCAAGAGAATAGAATTCGTTTACTTAAAGAGACGTATAGAAAAGTTACTTATCCTTCGAGAAGTGAATCATTAAGAAAGTAGAATTCAAAATGTCAACATATTCCTAATATTTTGTGTTAGATTTTACTTTTCTTAATTTTCTGTTTTTTCTTATTTTATGTATTTCAAAATTTGTATTTCTCAGATTATTCAATAAAATTTTACATATTATTACGCTTTTACCTCTTAGAATATAAAAAGTTCCTATAAAATAAATAAAAATAAAAATAAAAAAAAAATATTTTTTTTATATATAATCACTATGTATTTATTCACACAAAACTATAAATATCTATTATGAATATTTGTTATTATTATTTTAAGAGCTGTCAATCATACTGTTGACACTATCACTTTCACTCTTGTTTCTCATTCCTTGAATAATAAAAATAAAATAATGTATTTTCAATTATCTTGCCATCCAGTGATCTGATTTGAATGAAACATATATCATTATGATTCTTGAGATTTGACAGTTCTAATAATCTAAATTTCGTAAAATTCTGATTCGTTAAAGTTGAAATAATAACATCTGTAACTTTAGTTCTAAATTTGCATTCATTATTTCTTTTATCCAATTGAGATTTAGCATTTGGTCAGGTGATTTTCAGTGAACTTTGTATGACTAAAATATTGCACAAGCTTTCATGAGGTCAGGAATGATAAATACTATCTATTGAGTCTTTGTGTAATCTTTATATAATTTTAATTCAACACTTCATTTTCTCTATCTTCTCTCTTAAGCTTCTTTGATATTCTTTTCAGTTGTTTTCAATATCAAATTATATTTGCAAAACTTATATACTTTCTTTAATATTCTCATGAGCTATTACTGCGCTAATTAAGAAAAGATGATTCTGTCATTGTCACCAAATGTTAATGTATAA